TGGAGAGCACTAATGAGGAAGATCACACACCATTTCTATTTAGTTTTTTTTACTTGGTTTTTGTACTTTTGCTTGAGAGAATTATTTTCAAATTTTCAACTAATTATCAGCATTTAATTTTTGACAAACACAATAGATGTGAATATGAAATTAGCTAGCGTTTTGTTTGCTCAGGTTAATGTGACTGACTTAAATTACTTAAAAAACTAAATTACTTGTAATCTAAAAAATTTAATTGGTTATGTAATGTTTTATCTATGTCAATATAATAGTATTAATTTAATGAAAATTAAACATAATCTATTTAATTATATCTATTCATAGATTTGAAATAGACTGCTGACTAGAGTACATTAGAATTAATAATAATGAATTAAAATATACTTCACATTTATTTGGATTATATTTGCTTGAGTTAGCATACCTATTTACCTTTTACTTTTCTTGCATTTTCAGCTAAAATTGACCAAGAGGCAGAGGAAAACTCACTAACAGAGACTCATAAATGGTGAGAAATTAAGTACTTTCCTTTAATATTTCTTCTCAGAATAGGTTTATAAAATGCTTAGTGTGTTTCATCTCAAGGAACCAGTCATTAGCTCAATTTTTATTTTCAAGCATAAAAGAGTAATAAACTAATGTAATAATGTATTTTAATTCCACATTGAATTTCTGAATTTTATTTTTATGAGTCTGAATGATGTATAATCCTGTTCAGTATCAATTATTTTGAATAGCTTAGCACCTTCACATTTGAAGAGGATTTAGGACTGTGGAAACAGAATTAAAAGGAAAATAGCAGGATCTGTTTGGAGAAAGAGGGTGAAGAATGTGGTTATAGGACACTATTGTATTTCCGCATTCCAAAGTAGGATCCAGGGAAGAAGCCATGAGCTTCCCTTGCATGCACCATCACTTCCGGAATAAAAATTTACAATCATGGGTGAGCACAGAAAAGTATCTCAGAAATCTCCCTGCTTCTCTGCCTCATTTTTCTCCTGTTCTTTTTCCTATC